TCCACCCCTACAAGCTGTCCTCTGACCTCCCCACACTCAATGTGCCAACCACATACACACACAGGGTTTTACACTGAAGCTGACCTGGAACTTGAGACATTGATTACACCTCAGCTTCCCAACTCAGCAGGGTTAAAGTTCTGAAGTTACTAGCAGCATTCTAAGACAGAAAGCCAACAAAACACAGGCACCTGGTCTTTTCTGGAGTCTTAGGCACACACTACTGAACAGAGAAGAGATTCGACAGTACAGTCTTCCCATCTCAAGCTCCGAGGTTCACATGGCCTGCAGGATGCACTAGGGCGGAGAGGGAGGGCATTTGGTGCCCCGTGGAGAGGAACAGTGGCTTTGCCCTCCAGGACCATTTCACCCCCGGTCAGTCATCTCACTGCATCAAGGGAAGATGCAGCCTTAGAACACAGGCAGGGGCTGGAGAGATGGCTCAGTGGTTAATAGACCAGCTGTTCTTCCGAAGGACCTGGGTTCAATTCCCAGCTCCCACATGGTAACTCATAACTCTCTGTAACTCCAGTTCCAGGGGATCCAACATCCTCATACATACAGGCAAAAAAACAATGCACATAAAGAACTAATAAAATATGTTAGCCAGGCAGTGATGGCGCACGCCTTTAATCCCAGCACTGAGGCAGAGGTGGGTTGGTCGCTGAGTTCAAGGCCAGCCTGGTCTACAGAGTGAGTTCCAGGACAGCCAGGGCTACAGAGAGAAACCCTGTCTCAAAAAGAAAAAAAGAAAAGCAAAGGCAGCTGGTTGAGGGCTGGTGAGGGGGCTCAGCTGGCGAAGGTGATTGCCCCAAGGCCACCTGAATTCCATCCTTAGGAGCCACATGGTAGACAGTGGAAAAATACAACTGACTCCTGCAAGTTTCCATACTCTCCTTCTCTCCCCTCCTCCCTCCCTCCCTCTCTCTCTCTCCTCCCTCTCTCTCTCTCACACACATAAATAAATAAATAAATAAATAAATAAATAAATAAATAAATAAATAAAATGTTTAAGAAGAGAATTTAGGGAAAGAAAGAAAAGGCAGTTGGGGGCCAGGTTTGGTGGTTCACACCTATAGTCCTAGTACTTGGAAAGTGGAGGCAGGAAAATCGTGAGATCAAAACCAGCCTCAGCTACACAGCAAATTCCAGGCCAGAAAGAGCAGAAGGGAGGGGCAGACATAGGAAAGCAAGAAGCAGGCCAGATGGAGGTGAGTGCTGAGCTCACTTACATCTTGTTTGGCAACAAAACCGCCTCACCAGGTACTGTATTGTTGTACGTAGTAGCAGCAGCGTAGCAGTAGCAGGGCTCCAACCCAGTGCCCTAGCAACACAGAGCGCCAGGCCCCACTTAATTTTCTCAAACATAAAGCTTCCGTAGTCTATCAGAGCCTTTCAGTCCCGCTCACTGGGGACATTCTGCCAAACAATCCGACAGGAGTCTGAGTGGGTAATCGGCTCTGCGCTGTCTACCGGGCAGGCACGACAGACAGCCTAAAGCTCAACTTACTCCTCCTTTGTCTTAGTGTCCACACAGTGGTTCAAATGGTGAAACGCTGATTTACGAGGAACAGAAGGCCCTTTCCAGAGAGCCAGTTCCTGATTCCAGCGAGTACCCCTCAGCACCCACTGCTCCAGTTCCTGATTCCAGCGAGTACCCCTCAGCACCCACTGCTCCAGTTCCTGATTCCAGCGAGTACCCCTCGGCACCCACTGCTTAGCACTGGTTTGTCTTCTGAGGAGGTGAGAACATCCACTCCCTGGTATCCTCCTTACAATTCTTCTGCTTCTTTAATAAGAAAATTCGATTACCTTAAAAATCACACATGGGCCGGGCGGTGGTGGCGCACGCCTTTAATCCCAGCACTCGGGAGGCAGAGCCTAGGCGGATCTCTGTGAGTTCGAGGCCAGCCTGGGCTACCAAGTGAGTTCCAGGAAAGGCGCAAAGCTACACAGAGAAACCCTGTCTCGAAAAACCAAAAAAAAAAAAAAAAAAAAAAAAAAAAAAAAAAAAATCACACATGGTCAGGAGCATTCAGCATTCAGGAGGCAGAGGCAGGAGGACAAGCAGGTTTAAGGCCACCTGATCGACCCAGCGAGTTCCAGCTCAGTTAGGGCCACACAGCAATATCCCAGCTTAAAATAAAAGGGCTGGAGAGATAGCTCAACACTGCTGCTCTTCCAGAGGACCCAGGTTCAATTCCCAGAACCCAGATAGCAGCTCACAACTGTCTGTAACTCCAAGTCCAGGGGACCCAACGCCGTCACACAGACATACATGCAGAAAAAACACCAATTCACTTAAAAATAAATCATTAAAAAATAAACAAAATAAAGTATGAAATACTAAATACATGTACAACTCTAACAAACCATTTTTTCCTTATGTTGAAAAAAGGCTTGAGTTTAAAACAGTGGTTTCTTGTATTTGTCCCTAAAAGGAGGTAAAGGCATTTATAGCCATCTCATTAATTTTAAGGTATAGAGAAGAAAGTTTTATCACCTACCCCCCATACTGGGGAGAGAAGGGGGGGTTGTTTGTATACAGTCTAAATCTCCCCACCTCCCATGTCACAAAGTACAAAATATGAAGTAATACAAATCCTGAAATGGCACGCAAGTGTTTAAAAACCTTCTTGTACATTTATTTATTTGTGTGTGTGTGATGGTAGTGCACACGTGTGGAGGTCAGTTCTATCTCTACCTTGAGGGCTCTGAAGATCAAACAGCCTGGCACTGATCAAGATGCCTCCCTGGCTTTCAAACACTCAGAAGAGAACAACGGCCTGTAACCACAGCATTCGGAGGCTGAGGCAGGTGAGTCACAAGTTCAAGGTCAACCTGAAGCTGCTTAGTAAGACTCTATCTCAGAAAGGTGAGTAGGACCAACAAATGAGAACATAAAGATTCCAAATCTTGCCGGGCGGTGGTGAGCACACCTTTAGTTTCAGCATTCGGGAGGCAGAAGCAGGAGGATCTCTGTGAGTTCGAGGCCAGCCAGGGCTACACAAAGAAATCCTGTCTTGAAAAAAATAAATAAACAAACAAAAAATGACCTTAAAACTACAATCCACCCTATGGACCTGGGTTCTACATAATGCCTTTAATTCCACACAACACATCCCACTCATAAGGTACAAACAGTGCTCCTATTACACAGAGTCGCTATACCTGAATCAGGGCCGGCTCTCTCTCTGACACAATGGCCATTGAGACACTAGCTGAGACAGTACTTTGCTAACTTCGAATGCCACAGTAATCATCTCTCCTCCTACTTGTCTTACTCAAGAACTACAATCTCAACTCAACACCCAGCATGCCGCCTCTCACCTGAGTTTGACTTTTCAGTTCTCTTTGAGATTTACAGAAAAAGCTACTGGGATAAGGGGGGAGGGGAGGGGTGGGAGGGGGCAGCCTCACACAGCCTTTAATCCCAGCACTCAGGGAGGCAGAGGCAGGCTGGGTGAGTTCCAGGTCAGTGTGGCTTACATAGGGAGTGCCAAGACAGCCAGGACTACATAGAAAGACTCTGCCTCAAACCAACAAAGGAAAGAAACCCCAGCATGTGACTGACACCTGCTTGTAACTCCAGCTTTCAAAATGCTAAAGCAAGAAGCTAAGAGTTCTAAGCCGTCTAAGACAGCCAGATCCTGTCTGGAAACACACACACACACACACACACACACACACACACACACACACACACACACACACACTCACAGAGGGGAGGGATGGGGAGGAGGGAGGAGAGGAGAGGAGAGAAAGATCTGGGGAGTGGAACACAGCTGATAACAAAACTGCCTGCTTGGGTGTCAGCGAAGATAAGAACAGGGAAAATGTGGCCCAGCTGTCAAGTACTGATCTGTTAGACAAAAGTATTATTTGTCAACCATGACTAAGAAACAAGGGCCTGAGGCTGAAGAGATGGCTTGAGGGTTAAGAGCACTCATTGCTCTTCCAGAAAAACTGAGTTCAATTCCTAGCACCTACGTCAGATGGCTGTAACTGTGACTCCTGGAGATCTGACACCTCTCACGTGCACACCCCCACACAGACACAGGCACAATCACATGGCGGGATGCACGCGCACACACAAATAATTAAAAATAATAAAACAGCCGGGCGGTGGTGGCGCACGCCTTTAGTCCCAGCACTCGGGAGGCAGAGCCAGGCGGATCTCTGTGAGTTCGAGGCCAGCCTGGGCTACCAAGTGAGTTCCAGGAAAGGCGCAAAGCTACACAGGGAAACCCTGTCTCGAAAAACCAAAAAAAAAAAATAATAATAATAAAACAAATCTTTAAAGAAAAAAAGAAAGGACAGTGGTAGGGCAGGCCGGGCACACACTCATGGGGGGTGGGGTGGGCAGGCCGGGCACACACTCATGGGGGGTGGGGTGGGCAGGCCGGGCACACACTCATGGGGGAGGGCAGGCCAGGCACACACTCATGGGGGGGGCAGGCCGGGCACACACTCATGGGGGAGGGCAGGCCGGGCACACACTCATGGGGTGGGCAGGCCGGGCACACACGCATGAGAACTATCCCTTTCTCTGCTCGCAGAGCTCACCTTCCTGATTGCTGACTAGACCACACACAGTTTAGTCTGCCCTCCTCTCTTCCCCTTGGCCTTTGTTCTTCCAACTCTGACAGGGTAAGCTTCCTGTAAACTTCCTTCTAACCACAGCTTTACAGCAGTGTTTCCCGTGGTGGGGGGACAATCTGGTCACCTGGCCTGACACCTCCATCCTGTGAACAACTTCAAAGGCCCTCTCTTAGGGAAGAAAAAGGAAGAAATCTATCAAAAGCATATCTACCTCCCATCACCCAAAAACACTTTGTCCAAGTCTTTTTTTTCCCCCCCACTTACTTATATAGTTTTCCTCCAGAAAATCTGAAGGATTTTTTTTTTTTGTTAGAGCACATCTAGCCCATTTACCCTAACAGGGATCACCTTCAACACTGAACTTCTGTTCTTAGAAGAAAAATCATGTGTCAAGTCAGACAAACATGTAAGAGATTCCTCAGCCTTGGACGCTTCCTTCTGCTCTTTGGAACCTGATAAAATTTTAATAATTAACTTGTAGCCTTCTCCTCTCATTACATATGAATTTGAACACATGACAACCTAAAGAAGTATTGAGCTGTTTTAATACAGATGAGCAAGTAAACTTAGGTCACCTCCACTGCCTCCAATGGGTTGTTTCTTTTTGGTTTTGTTTTCTTTTCCAGACAGGGTTTCTCTGTGTAGTTTTGGTGCCTGTCCTGGATCTTGCTCTGCAGACGAGGCTGGCCTCGAACTCACAGAGATCCTCCTGCCTCTGCCTCCCGAGTGCTGGGATTAAAGGCGTGTACCACCACCGCCGGGGCACGCTTTGTAAACTGTGCTTTTCCATAAACAGTTTCTCATTTAGTGATGGGCTCCCAACAATGTTGCTAAGCGACTGAGAAAGACTTCTTTTGAACTCCTGGGGTCTCCCAACCACACCAACAGGAATTAAGAGGGATTTAAGGCTCATACAAAGAGGTACTGGCATAGCAGAAAACGATGGCCTCTGACCGACAAGGCGGCACCGAACCAGGCTCTGGGCTGCAAAGTCAAACAGAAAAAACGATCCTACTTTGTGAATACAGTTTTCACTTTGTCACTACTGAACCAAAGCTGCCCACCAGCTCTGCCGAGTAACAGAGCGGAATCTCGGAGTCACATCCAGCTTCCCTATTCCTCCACAACAGGTCCTGCCAGGATGCTCAGGAATTCCCCTTCTGAGTCCCACAGGCCTTCCGGAAACACGAGAAACCATGTGTGCCGCAGTCACCGCCTTTAGGTGCGCGTCCAAAATAAACTCTTAACCCAAGCAAGGCTGTGAATGAAGATTGTAGCAAAAGACACCGGCGAAATCTCAAGGTTACATTTACCAACACGGCTACTGCAGAAACTTGCCTAAAACGTTATTTTCCAACCTCATTTAATAAACCAAGCAGAAGCCAAGCCTGAGTGGTAAATGCTTGTGACTGATCTCGGCACAGAGGCAAAAGGATGGCTGGAGGCCGACCTGGATTACATATCAAGTTCCAGAGCAGTTAGACACATATAGCAAGATCTAGTCTTGGAGAGAAAAGACAAGGATTACGAAGAAGCTCTCTGCACAGCGCCTGTCTTCGCCTGTAATCACTGAGCCTTCAGACTAATAATATGGCTGGAAAGCACTGGCCTGGGGAATCTTTGGCAACAGCCCAAAAGATTCCGAGCAAAGACTCCTGAGAAGGTCAAAGCCCTGGGTAACAGCAGGTGCGAGCGGGCAGTAATAAAAACACCTGGTGGCAGGGGACTGGCCTAAGCGCTTTTCGTGTATTAACTAATTTAACACCAACGACCTGGAAGATCCCGCCATCAACCCCACCCTAAGTGTGTGGAACACAAGAACGCCTAAGCAGCCTGAATGAAACATTAACACAGCCAAGAACTGATGGAGATGCCACGGCGGACAGCCTCCCGTGGCTCTCCCACGGCTCACACAGAAGCTCCCAGAGGCCCCTCGGCCCTGGCCAGCTCTCCCTCCATATGTTTGCTCTTGATGCCTTAAATCGCATCGCTGTAAAGCAAAGGACGACGGAGTGTCTCCATAGGACGCAGAGGAAAGCCAGCCTCTGTCCTGAGGACGCCCTTCCCGACAGTCTCATGTACCCACGACGTCCTGGACCAGAGACCCGACACGGACAAAGAGTCCAAAGGAGACACATAAAGTGAGTTTTGAAAAGTACCGGGCCTAGGAAGCCGCTGAGAAGGGGCGCGTCCATCGCGTGCACGGTGTCCCTGAAAGAGGCCTGGGAGGCGCGAGGACCCCGGCTGCGCTCAAGCCCGCGGCCCGAGGCCTTCGGGCCGACAGCGCAGCCCCGGCGGCGGCCGCTGGGCTGACAGGGCGCTGAGCTGCGGGAGGCCGCGCGCGGGCAGGCGGACCCCGGGGCTCCCTCCCGCTCCGCGTCGCGCCGGGTCTGCGCACCCCCGCCCCGGGACGCGTCCGGTCGGGCCGGCCCCGGGGAGGGGCGGTGGTCTGGCGTCCCAGGTCGCGGGGCAAGGCCGAGGCCCGTGACCGCCAGCGCCTGTGCCGACGCCGGAGCCCTCCGCGTCTCCTCGGGGTCCGGGGCTCCCGCCCGCTAGCCCGCCCGCTCGCACACAGCGGAACGCTGTGACCCCTGACCCCGCCAGCACCTCGGCTTACCGGCTCGCCCACCACCTGACACGCCGCGCCGGGGCCTCCATATCCCAGAAGCCAGCACCTAGCGGGTCAACCTCCTGCCCTCCCGCGATTGGCTGGCAGGGCGGGAGCCCCACTTCCTGATTGGCTGGACTCCTGCAGCGGCCGGACTGCGTGGCGGGCGGACTGGGAGCGGAGGCTCCGCCCACCCATGCTGGATCTGGGGGCGGGGTCCGCTGGGGGTGGAGCCTAGCGGGGGCGGGGTCGAGCCGGAGGCGGGGCCCGGCTCCAGCCCTGAAGTTCAAACTTAGCACGTTCCTCGGGTTGGCGACTCCCAGCCCGGGAATGCTACGGACCTGTAAATTTTTGTCATAGTTCCCGCCATCTCTTTCTAGGTAACGACAAGCCTGTTTCCTCCTAAGAAATGATGACCTCGAGATACAGCTACAACCGATAATAAGGCACCACGGCAGTCCCTTTTCTTCTGGCTTCTCGGGCCAAGAACACCCCACGTCTGGGAGGAACCGCGGAACCTGGACCAGCGGAGCCAGTTCGGCCGCATCAGTAGTTCTCCTTCCAAGCCTCTCAGGGAGCTTTTCTCCATCCCACCTAGCTGCATCTTCTCCCGAAACTCTGTCCTGCCTGCCCCAAAGCAGTCCCGCTCCATCCCCGGCCTCACACCTCAGCATCCTTCTCGGAGAGAATAAATGGCCTGACAAGTCCCCCAACTCCCCACGAGGTTCTAAGAGCTACCAAAACCTTTTTTTTCCCCTCCCGATTTCCCCTACTGGCTACAGCAGTAGAGACGACAGCGCTGTTTCCTTCAGAAATGTAAGAACGGAGATAGGAAGAAAGCACAAACACACACACACACACACACACACACACACACACACACACAAAGGAAATTTTAAAAATATGGTAACAACAAAAGCAAACTCGGGACAAAAGGGAAAAAAAGCCAGACTTCCACACCCTGGCAAGAACGGCTGCTTTCCATACAGAGTGGTCTCCTGAAAGAAGAGAAAACGCACACGTTAGTTCTGGACCCCTGCCCTCTAGCCCAGCACCTCTCCTCTGGGACCCTCCGCTGCCTCTAGAAAAAGAAAAGGGTCGGGGCTGTTTGTGTCAGCTTCCAGGTGTGCTCGGCTGGCCCGCGTCCCTGCCCCTGGCTGCCCACTTACTTAGCTCACAGTTGGGAGCAGCTGCAGCTCCACTTGGCTGCCTCTTCCCCATGGTGCAGAACTGGTTAGGCTAACCCCGGAGCCGCGCAGCCTCTATATATGCGGACTAGTGCGCCTCCCTTGGTTAGAAACGAGACTTGAGGTAGGTCAAGACTGAGAAAAAATTCAAACCGCACCCTCCAAAGCATAATCAAATTTCATCTTTGACCGGCCATGAAAGGGAAGCATTGTATTTCTGCCACTCCTAGTTATTAATAATATTAATTGAGTTCAAGTTTTCTTCTGAGATTTCATTTCTGTGCCATTCCGAAGGGCAGGACCTGGAGGCAATGGGTGCTGGTGGCTGAAATGGGTGGGTGGAGGGAACTGCTTTCCTCTGGCCGCCACTCCCTCCCCTGGGAGTCAAGCTGGTTCGGGGACTAGGACTCTGCCCCTCTGAGAGGGAGGTAAAACCAATTAACCCAAACCCTGACAGTCCGCATGTATTTTCCACATAGTACGTGCGATACTGATGCAATTATGAGGCGTCTCAAAGTGTAGGTGGAAACGCCGCCTGGTCTATTTCTCTGGATCTGAAGGAGCCGAGGGCATGAGCTGGTCAATCAGTGATCAGGAGGCAGACAACAAAGTGAGGCAGATCAGAACTTAGTACCCGATGGAAAAGAAAAAAAGGCCTGAGACAGCAAAACAGAAATCTAGGGCAAGAATTTCTCGGTGTGGAATGGGGGAAATTTGCCTCCTGGAAACAACTGAGACTATCAAGAATAAATGGAAAGAAACGCAGTTGGCTCAAATTACCAAGCAAGGTTGCACGGTGAAGCATGGCAATGCTAGGAACCAGGGATTTTCTGAGCAGCACCCGGATGAAAGCCCTGGTGCTGGGCTCGCTCAACCTACCTTAAGATATGATCTGCTCCCAATCCTACTTGCTATCAGACCGTTCCCCAAGGCAAAGTGGCCTCTGCAGATTAAGCCGGGGACAAGTTGTCCTCCTCATAAATGGAAGTACCCATCCATGAAATAAAATCTGGCAGAGAAAAGATTTGAATTTATGATTTCTGAAAGGAGAAGCGAGGCCAAGGACATGGCTGAATGGTAGAATGCTCCCCACCATGTGTGGGGCTCTGGGTCCCATCGATTTACACACACACACACACACACACACACACACACACACACACACACGCTCACCACATAAACATACATACACGCACACACATGCACATTCACCACATACATGCTGTGGGATGGTCTGTATGTCAAATGTGTTGCTGATTGGTCAATGAATAAATCACTGATTGGCAGTGGCCAGGCAGGAAGTATAGGCGGGACTAACAGAGAGGAAAATTGAGAGAACAGGAAGCTGGGAGGGGAGACACTGCCAGCCGCCATCAGGACAAGGAAGATGTAAAGTACCGGTAAGCCACAAGCCACGTGGCAAGGTATAGATTAATAGAAATGGATTAATTTAAGCTGTAAGAACAGTTAGCAAGAAGCCTGCCACGGCCATACAGTTTGTAACCAATATAAGTCTCTGTGTTTACTTGATCGGGTTTGAGCGGCTTGGAACTGGCGGGTGAGAGAGATTTGCCCTGACTGTGGGCCAGGCAGAAAAAGTCTAGCAACACATACACACATGTACACTCACCACATACACATACACAGACACAGACACACACACACTAAAATAAAAATCATGCGGGTCATGGTGATGTGCGCCTTTAATCCCAGAAGAGGTAGAGACGGATAGATCTCTGAATTTGAGCTAGCCTGGTCTACAGAGCACAGCCAGGGCTACACAGAGAAACCTTTCTGTCTTGGAAAAAACAAACAACCAAACCAAACCAAAACAGAAAAGTCATGAAAGCAGTAATGGGTTTCATGGAACAATCTTCAGGCTTTTCTTCCAACATACTAACTGAACTTTTTTCTATATACACTGTTTCACACTTGACAAACATCCATCAATCCTCACAAAACCGTGAGGCAGGAACTATTATCTTCAGTTGGAAGATTAATCAGTAATTTACGAGGGTTAAGTAATTTGCCTAAAAGACACTTAGTTAGCCAGCAAAGCTAGATTTCAAACATAACATCATTAGATCTGGCAGCCCGCGCTCAATGCCAGCTCTGTCTTGTATATGAGTACTACTCTCTTCCATTGAAGTCTAGCTCAAAGACATCATCAATGCATAGATGGCAGTGGCTATGGGTAGCATTTGTTAATACGGCTCCCCCCACCCCCCAAGAGTCAGGGTTTCTGTGTAGCCCTGGCTGTCCTGGAACCTGCTCTGTAGACCAGGCTGGTCTTGAGATCATAGAGATCCGACTGCCTCTGCCTCTTGAGGGCTGGGATTAAAGGCGTGCGCTGTCACCGAAACTGCCGCCGCCGCCGCCGCCGCCACCGCCACCACCACCGCCCGCTACTACCACCACCCTGGCCATGCCCAGCTCTTAATATGGATTTAAAAAAAAAAAGTTTTATTTTAATCATGTGTGTAATGTGTAAAAATCCCTAAAGATTTCTATTTATTATGTGTATACACGTGTGTCTGTGTGTGCATGAGTCTGGGTACAGTGCCTGCAGAGGACTCCTGACTCCCTGGAATTGCTCACTGTGGGTGCTGGACACTGAGCCTGGGTCCTCTGGAAGAGCAGTCTCTCCAGCCCAATGTGAACCTTATTGCATGTACCTTTTATTTAAGGGGACCTTTCTAAGTTTTCCATTCACACACTCCAAGTGTTTTTTTTTTTTTTTTTCATGCTTTTATTTTCTCTACGACTTCCTAAAATTAGCTACTATAGCCATTGACCATCTTTACCCGGAAAATTACTCTTCAGGATTCCTCAAAATACCCATGGGGCCAAAGAGATAATAGCTCAGCAGGAAATGTTTGCAGTGAAAGATGGATGACCTGAGTTTGAGCCTAGAACTCATATTAAAGGCGGAAGCAGAGAACAAACTCCCCAGTATTGTCTCTGACCTCCACACATGCACACCATACACCCCAATACAATAGTAATATATACATTTAAAAAGCAACCCTAAACTGGGTGGTGGCAGTGGCGGCGGCGGCGGCGGCGGCGGCGGCGGCGGCGCATGCCTTCGCATGCCTTTAATCCCAGCACTTGGGAGGCAGAGCAAGGCGGATCTCTGTGAGTTGGAGACCAACCTGGTCTACAGAGTGAGATCCAGGACAGCCAGGGCTACACAGAGAAACCCTGTTTCTAAACAGAACAAACAAAAGCAGCTCTGTGATTGTCCTCTGACTTCTCTAGGCGGCCGCTGGGCTGGCAACATTAATTACTCTTAAATGCCATTTACTACCTGAGCATGGGGAGCAGAGGAGCCCAGGTGAATGTACAGCGAGAGTGAATGTGTACTATTGACAAGGACCCCAATGCCTCAAACCCATGGGGATGGCAAAGCTCCCTCGGGTCCCTGTGGGAATGTTGACTGAACGTACAGAAAGCTGGAGGCTTCCAGGCAGAGACTGCTCCCCTGCAGAAACCTCCCACCTAGCCAGTTAACCTGGCCTCTCCTCCTCTGCTTGGGTAATAACCAAGCTAATGTTCTGGGCTGCTGCACAGCTGGTGGTCTGTCAGAGCTGCCCACTCAATCCAGCTGTGTCTGTGTGTCTGTTCTTTAGTACCTTGTGGCACCTGTCAGGTTTCCAGGACCAAGCCACACAGGACTTCTAAGCACTTCTCGTTCTGCCTAACAAATGAACTCATTTTATAAACATTTCCTGAGAACCTACTATACTTCCAGCACAGGAGGGAAGCTACACACACTAAGTGATAATAGAAGCTCAGGCCATCATTGATTATTGTTTTTGTGCTTTTTCTCCCAATAAATTGAGCTTTCAATAGAGAAGATTGAGCTACATGAGATGTCACACACCTTTGATCTCAGCCCTTGGGAGGCAGAGGCAGGCAGATCTCGGGGAGTTCCTGGCTAGCCTGGGCTACATAGTGAGACTCTGGTGGGGGGAAGGGGGTGTCTTATCTTTGTATACTAGCAAAGACCATGTATACAGGGGGTGTCCTATGAATGTTTTATAGATAGATAGATGGATGTTTTCTAACATGTAAAACATGTTATAACTGTTAGGCAATAAGGAATGATAGTATATTGTAGCATGAATCTTTTTTTTTTTTTTTTTGGAGCTGAGGCTCAAACCCAGGGCCTTGTGCTTGCTAGGCAAGCGCTCTACCACTGAGCTAAATCCCCAACCCCTGTAGCATGAATCTTAAAGAGTCTTATTAATAAACTCAAACCTGAGGCCAGTTATTTGGGTGAATTCTGGAAGATCAGAGAAGCAGAACAAGCCACAGCCACCTCACCTTGCCAATTCCTCAGCTGATCCTGTTTCCTCAGACTGGAAGCTTCTGAGTCCTCATCCAGAATGAATCTCAGCTGAACTGCTGCTAAAAGCCTAAAAGCTTAACCAGACCTAGTTCCTGGTCCTCATGCCTTAAATACCTTTCTGCCCTCACTTCCTGGGATTAAAGGCTCACTTTCCGGGATTAAAGGAGTGAGTCACCATGCCTGGCTGTTTCCAATGTGGCCTTGAACTCACAGAGATCCAGAGGGATTTCTGCGTCTGGAATGCTAGGATTAAAGGCGTGTGTGCCACCATTTTCTAGCCTCTGTATCTAGTGGCTGTTCCGTTCTCTGACCCCAGATAAGTTTATTAGGGTGCACAATATTTTGGGGAACACAATACCACCACAGTATATTCCTACTTACGCACTTATTTCCAAAGTTAGGGTTTTAATCTATGCCAAAAATATTCTTCCCCAGATGCTGCCAGCTATTCCTATGAAAAATGCCAACACGCAGAGCTCTGACTCCCTTTGAGAACGAAGAACATTTTAGGAAAGGGATGAAACAAGTTCTCCTGTAGCCCAGGCTGACCCTGAACTTGCCATGTGGTCCAAATTGGCCTTGTGACCCTCCTTCCTCGGCCTACTGTGCTGGATTTAGGGCATAAGCCACAATTTCGGCTATAGGACTTTTTTGTTGTTGTATTTTCAGACAGGGTCTGGAAACCATTGTGTAGAAACTCACTTTATAGATCAGGCTGGCCTCCAGCTCACAGAGATCCACCTACTGACCTCCACCTTCTGAGTGCTGGGATTGAAGCCGTGTGCCAGCACGCGCGGCTGTGACGGACTTATTATTCCAGCGCTGCTGGCAGATGGCCTCCGGGTGTCTGGTCCCACCCCATTCCTCACAGCCTGCCTCCAGTGGGAATGGTCCTACACAGTTCAGCTGCTCCTGCTCAGTCTTGCTTCCTTCCATTCCCTCGTTCCCAATCCCGAGTTTTCTTCCTAATAAGCTTCCTGCGGGCACGGTCTTGGGGTTGGCTCCCTCTGACTTCTTCCAGTGACTCAAGGTCAGCGTTAGCTGGAACAGTGACCTGCACTCACTCTTCATCTGCTTCTCCACCCTTTGTGGCACTCTGGAAATCACTCTCTGAAATGAGATCGTTGAGTCCATCTACAGCAGAACCCCGACTTTTGCCATATGTGCGTCCAAGATGGCTAAGTGTTCCTCTTCTACCTGTGCCTCTGGCTGCCACCATCCTGTGCCTCTGGCTGTCCCCCTCTCCCTGGCTGCCACCATCCTGTGCCTCGGGCTGTCCCCCTCTCCCTGGCTGCCACCATCCTGTGCCTCGGGCTGTCCCCTTCTCCCTGGCTGCCACCATCCTGTGCCTCTGGCTGTCCCCCTCTCCCTGGCTGCCACCATCCTGTGCCTCTGGCTGTTCCCCCTCTCCCTATTTCTTTGCTACTTCTCGTCTGCTCCTCACATGATTTCATAGTCCTCTCCTGATTTCCAGTGTCTACACCAGCCCTAGAGACCTTCCAGGCAAAGGATGAAGCTGTAGAAAGAACAACATCTTAAGGTAAGACTGAGCTGAATTCCAAGTCCTTCTGTTTCTTACATGTGTTTCTTTGCTTTCTATGAGATAGGTTCTCATGTAGCCAAGGCTGGTCTTGAACTCCTGACATAGCTGAGACTGGCCTTGAACTCGT